GAAAAGACTGGAAATAAATTATTTGCATTGATATGTCCTGATGACAATTTTAAAGAAAACAAAAAAAGTGTTTGCATAAATTGAAGAATTATTTCCTATGTTGTGATTGAGAGGTTATGTTGGGGGAGGGGGGCGATGACAACTTCCTCATTGGCTCAAGGGGGCGATTCGTTCAAAAAGGTTAAGAACCACTGCTCTATACTGAGCTATTCCCCTCTGCCATCTCCCTATGCCACCTTATGAGCCTCACACTAGAGCAGAAGAGCTTTCGTTCCAACTGACCTTTAGGTGGTCTGATAAATTAGTTAAAATGCAGCAAAAACTGAAGATGGGGTTAAGGTGCTAGTTGAAGCCAATTTTTGCATTCCCCTAATTGATCAGCTATATGCATATGTACAGGTTCCACATTTAGGCAAGAAAAACCAAATGCACAGGTACAGTATAGGGGGTACCTTGCTCAATAGTAGTAACTGTGAGAGGGATCTCGGAGTCCTAGTGGACAATCACTTAAATATGAGCCAGCAGTGTGCTGCAGCTGCTAAAAAAGCCAACACAATGCTGGGCTGCATTAACAGAGGGATAGAATCAAGATCACGTGAAGTGTTAATACCACTTTACAATGCCTTGGTAAGGCCACACTTGGAATACTGCATCCAGTTTTGGTCACCGTGATGTAAAAAAAGATGTTGAAACTCTACAGAGAAGAGCAACAAAGAGGATTAGGGGACTGGAGGCTAAAACATATAAAGAAAAATTGCTGGAATTGGGTATGTCTAGTTTAATGAAGAGAAGGACGAGGGGGGACATGATAGCAGTGTTCCAATATCTCAGGGGCTGCCACAAAGAAGAGGGAGTCAAGCTATTCTCCAAAGCACCTGAAGGCAGGACAAGAAGCAATGAATGGAAACTAACCAAGGAGAGAAGCAACCTAGAACTAAGGAGACATTTCCTGACAGTTAGAACAATTAATCAGTGGAACAACCTGCCTCCAGAAGCTGTGAATGCTCCAACAGTGGACGTTTTTAAGAAGAAACTGGATAGCCATTTGTCTGAAATAGGGTTTCCTGCCTGAGCAGGGGGTTGGACTAGAAGACCTCCAAGGTGCCTTCCAACTCGATTATTATTATTGTTGTTGTTGTTGATTCTGATGGTCAGAGGAATAAACCAGTTGCTTTATTCAGTGCATTTTCTTTTATTTGAAAAAAATTATAAGTACATTTTAATATGCACTAGAAAGTAGAAATGGGGAAAACTGATAATACATACAATTGTTATTCTATAATAAAACTAAATATTGCAATATTTAAGCTTAAGTAATGGAACAGCGAGAAAAACTGTTAAGTCCTTGGACCAGAAATCATTTCTAAAAAGAACATGTCAGTCATCATAAATGACCAAAAACGGTGACAAAATAAGACTTCTTGTCAGTTAAAAGTGTTGCTTTAAATATACTTAATTTTATGAAAGTATAGATTAGATCTTGATTTCAGCTCACTTTTCTGCAGTTCAAGAATTTTTAATAAAATCCTCCCATGAAATAGGCTCAAAAGATCTAAGCTACATTTTAAGGTGTGACAAAATTGCTGCTACTCTATTTAATAAAACAATATTTTAAATGTAGTCATCCTACGCTGAGATACAACTCTGTACTTGTTTAATAAAAGAATATTTATATGAGTGCTTTGCAATTGAATTTAGATTTCTCCCACAAAAGAAATATCCTGCATTCATGAAAATCTGAATCATGCAAATTTGACCATAATAAATAAATAAACTTGTAAGCACTTTTTTCAACAAATAGCAGATTGAAATTCAGCTCAATTTCAGAAATTGATTCATATGTGGTTTGAAAAGTTACAGTGCAAGAAACAGAAGGTCAAAGTTTTCTTGGATTGACCGAGCTGTATTAACAATTATTTGTATCTTCACCAAGACCTCATCTAAATTAGTTTAGATTAGATGGACTAATTTAAGAAACTTTTCCTAAAACTGGTCCAGAAACATGGTCATTATTTCTGTGTGGATACAGTTCTGCCTCAAGGACTGAATGTTGTCTTGGACGGTTATCTCACTCAACTATCCAGATGCAATGGCAGGTTCACTTTTGAAACTAATCTGAATGATCTTCCGTTCCAACTTTCTTTTGAGGGTTTTTTTTTTCCCAAAATCACCAGCCAAACAACTAATTCAACAATGCCTTCCACGTGTCTCATGGATGAAATTTTGGACCCAATGCTTTGGCATAACAGTTATTAGCCGACCCTCTCCGACCAGAGATAGATCATGAGCTGCCTTACAACTCATTCACAAAACTACCGTAGGTGCCTTCAATGAACACGGGACTCTGCGTGACAGCACCTACGAACGCCCGAAACGGGGAGATCGAGTAATCCTGCACAGAATCCCAGCGTAGGAAGCTGGGTGGGCAGCAGCCCTGTACACCCCCTCCCCACCCAGGCTCCAGTGCCCTAAAAGAAACACTCCAAGAGTATTTCTGGAGGGACTTTGCAACAACCATGTAGCAAAATTCCCTTCCTCCCCTTTCCCAGGACCTTTAATCGGCTCGCGGGTGCCAGGGGCATTTCGAAAAGTTTCCACGAGCCTAAGTTTAATTGAGAATTAACCTTAAGACTTTCGAAAGAGAGGCGGCGGAGTGGGCTATAGGGCGTGGAGAAGGCGGAGAAGACCCCTCTCTGCAATTTAACAAGGGACGCAGAGTATTCCTACACTCGTTTTAGAATGGGGTTTATTTTAATACTCGGGAGCAAAAGGGGACGGGGATTTCGAAGAGTATCGATGGCTCCGATGCCTCAAATTAAACTTTAAAGGCCGGCGGCGGGGGCCCAAGGAGACGCGCTCCCCGAGCCACGCCGGGGCGCACCCACCCGCGGTAGAAGCAGGACGCGGGGGACGCGGCCAAAATAGTGTCCGGAGTGATATTTTATCCCAATAATATCGCCGGCGAAACCCCTTTCCTCGCCTTCCTTGCCCCGGGCTCTCCGCTGACCCCCCCCCCCGACCCAGCCGCCCGCCCGTCAACGGCCGGCTCAGGGCCTTGGCCGGCACTCCCGGGCTTAAGCGCCACCCCCGAACCCCAAAGCAACGTGGAGTCGGCAGGATTTCGACTGAACCCGCATTAATCTTGGCGATTTGGGCCCGCCGAGCGCCGGAGCGGGACCCTGCGGGGGCGGGGAACTCAAGGCCTGCCCTGGGTTGAGCAACCCCGCTCCCCCTAAGACGGCCCGACCCGGAGCCTCTTCCCCACCATTACGAGTAAGAGGCCGCCTCGCCCCCCTTTTCCTTCCGCGGCACCCCGCGGCTTCCAAAATCCCACCAGTCCCCCTCGAGGCCTAGAGCGCCCCTTCGAATCCCCGGCCTCGCGTACCCCGCTCGCCCGCCCGCCCTGCGGACATAGCGCCGCCTGCTGCTCTACGTGAGCCCGGGGATGGAGGCCGGGCCTGGCTTACCTTTCCAGCTGCTTTTTTTTCTCTCCTCTCTCCTCTCCCCCCTTTCCCTCTGTTGGGCTGACAGACCAGAGTTTCCTCCCCAGCAGAGGGACCGGGGAATGGGCTCGGAGCTGCTTCAGTCCTGAGGAGCTGCTGCTGTTGCTGCCCCCCTGCCTCTGAGGAGAAAGATTCCTGCTTTTAGAAGAGACGAAAGCTTTGAACGGGAGCTCTTTATTATTTTAAAACTACAAAGTGCTCAGAGGGTAGGTGATTATTAAGGGGAATCCCTGAATATATTCTCCAGCAAAGAAGGCAGGGCTGTTGGGGCTGCTCAAGAAGAGAGCTGAGCAGCCTCCTACAGCACCACTACAGGCACTGAGAGGACATAACACCAGAGAGCGGCTTCTCTGCCCTCCAAAACAACAACTTTCCTACCATCTTGGAGGTAGTATAGAGAGAAAGAAGAAGGTGGAGGAAGAAGAAGAGGAAAAAGGGAGAAAAGTACAGCACGTTTTTATGAAGTGTGATGTATCAAAAATACTTTTTTAGAGAAATACAGGGCGGGGGGGTATGATTTGTGGAGCAATTTTCACTGAAGCTCAAGTGCAACTTAGAATGAAATAATTTCATTCTAAAATTTTCAAGAAGTTTTTATTGATGTATTTTAAAATAAAAACAGGGCTATGTGATTTTTCTGGGATGAAGTCGAATGTGTGAGTAAAAAGTGTGTGAGATATTATTTTGAAAATTTGAAATCTCTCATGGAATGATTCATTTATAACAAAGCTAAAATTGATATTGGATTATTTTGACAGAACTGGATCTTTTTGGCTCAAGGTAAGCTAAAGGAATCAAACTTTTGGTGATTTTCCTTTTAGAAAACTTTTTCTTTTAGAAAACCAAGGATAAAAAAATTGAAATACTTGTAAATGCAATATACCGGTATATGTTTTTCCTAGGCTACTGTGTTTCTAGTAGTGTAAGGGGTAAATCAAACTGATTTTAAAAAGTTTTAAGGGTTGAGTTGGACATTTAATATATTTTAGACTGTTTATTGGAGTGTTAACCCTTGTGTAAATTTCTTTATTTGAACTGTGTTTTGACAAGAGTACAAAGTTGGATGTTTTTCAAAGTTGAGAAAGTTATTAAGTTTCCATTTTAGAGAGAAAAAAACTTGATCTGGTAGGAAGTTGACACTAATATATGATGAGTTTGTAAAAGATACTGTAAAGGCTAAATTGAACAAGGGAACAGAAAATTGTAATCTTATATAGTATGAAGTACCCAGAAAATGGCTCGTTAAATTTTATATTGATTGTATAGTTAAGAATTCTATTATCTTTGCAATGTTTAACTAAATGTATGTTTTAACTTATTTTAGATCAGTCCTGAATTTATGTTTCAGAATGTCTGTTTCTTTGATCTGGGGCCCTACAATCATAATCTATTTGTATTTTATTTAATTTCTGTTAATTTCTATGAACCATTGTGCATATGCTATATATGTACTTTCAGATTATACATAGCAGAGTGAATCTAGTATTAAATAATTTTCCCAACTGTTGGCAATATTATCTGCTAATCTTGGCAATACCTTCAGTTCTGAATATTTAGCAGCAGTTCTGCTGCCTTCCTTAATAGTGTGCTATCTTTGATCTTCAGAAGGGCCTGTCTACTTCATAAGTAAATTTATTTATTATTATTAAATTTATATACCGCCCTATCTCCCTTGCGGGACTCAGGGCTGTGAACAGGCGATACTAAAAACCACGAATAAATAAATAGTTTCTGTTTTAAAATCGAATTGAATAATAGGCCTGTTCTAAAAACACACCCATACAAAACCCCCCACTGAAACACAATCCAAACTACACCAGGCCGGCCGCACGGAATAGATGGGCCTTCAGGGCTCGGCGAAAAAGGCGCAGGTCCGCAACTGTGCGTAGGTCGGGGGGTAGGTCATTCCAGAGGGCAGGAGCTGCCACAGAGAAGGCTCTCCCCCTGGGGGTCGCCAGCCGGCATTGTCTGGCCGACGGCAGATTGGCCAGATTGAAGCTAAAATGGACCATTCTGGTTATCCTTGTATTATACATATTTGAAGCATTTTACACAAGAAAACCTAGAATCTGTAAATTTATAGATTTTTCAATTACAGTTTATTATATTCTACAGTTAACTGAACCCTTCAATGCATTATTTACACTCATCTAAAAATTGGTCAATCTTACCACGTTGGATAACCTGATGTTTTTCACCATTTTTAAGCTACTGTGGTTTAACAATGGACAAAGTAAAGGGCAGTAGCTATACTGTATAAGTGCAGGTATTGTATAGCAGTAATACATACCCTGCCATCTATATCATAATCATATTTTGTCTAAAGATGCTAAAATGAGCTGATGCCTATATTGCTGATGCCTCAGTGATTACTATACAAGAGTGCAGGTTTTTCCATGTGAGCTTCCCATATGAAGCCTTCATATATTTTAATTTGGTAAAGCTAGCCTGTAGTTGAAAGGAGAGGCTCAGTTTTTGTTTAGTCAAGAAAAAGGAGAATTTATTTAGACAAAAGGGGAAATATGTTTTGCTTCAAGTCTGTTCAGATTTGAACTGGCTTTGTTCTGAGAAAATAAAACTCAAAAGTGGATTAAATTCTCAGAAAACTTTAGATTGTCTTTCTTTTACTCCAGGGTTATAAGAAACCTAACTGCTATCAGCTGTTCACCATAACTGAAAAATTGCTCAGCAGTATTTAAATGCTTCTGTAAACATTAAAACAAATCCATAAGAGCAATTGCAGAAGGGTCAAGCACAGGTTTTAGCACCTTGATTGACAAGCACACACCCAGTAGTTATTGCTCTTTGCTGAGTTTGTGAGCAAAAAAAGTCATGCAGCTTCATAAATCTTGTATAGATAGCATTAACATTACAATAGCAAAGTCAAAACTATTTGCAAAATATTCTCAGTTGTTAGGGTCTAGAAACCTACAATGCATTAAATGCATCTGAAAATTCAGCATCAAGACAACCCATAGCACATATACATAAAACTCAACATATCAATCTGATCAATAATGGAATCTGTTGAAAATGTACCTCTACATTTCTTGATTTCTTTTTGTAGACAACAGAATGAATCTTGGCAAAGAACCTTTTTGGGAACGGGGGGGGGGGGAGAACAATTGCTTATTTAATAGTTTCAAAGAATCGTATACTTCTAAGATGTTGTTTGCTCTTTAGAGAATTCCCCACATGTAAATGACATAGCATGGGCTATAGCAGGGGTGTCAAACTGCTGGCCCGTGGGCCAGACACATCACCAGGAAACCGCGCCCACCCCATTGCCGGCAATGGGGAAAAAGCTCCAATACGTTGCATGACGTCACGTGACGTCGTGTGTTTGACATGTCTGGGCTATAGGTAACAGAGCATATGGTATATGTGGATGGAGTTAGCAGCAGCTATCTGTTAACCACCTTTGCATGACAGGATGGAAACAGGACAGTAATAGGATGGAGGGCTATGGAAGATAGTGCAAAATCCCACTTAATTGGATTGTATAAAGAGCACATGATGGGAAGCTGTGGTGCAGCAACTAGAAGTTTTACTCTGATACATTCAAGTGATATCACTAAAAATCCAGTGTACAGTTCTCTGAGCCACTATCTAACACAGGGGTCTTCAAACTTGGCCCTTTTATGACTTGTGGACTTCAACTCCCAGAATTCCTCAGCCAGGCATGCTTGAGGACCCCTGATCTAACATGCATAGCTCAGGTGGCATTAACCGTATACTCTTCCCACTATGACACACTCAGGGAAAAGAGAATTGACTATGAATATGATCCAACTGATGAGCATTGCTCATCAGCCATTTATGAGTGATGGCCCAGTTTTCCATGTTAGTTATGGCTAAATGTATTCTGATATTTGTAGAAATGATTTTAGCTATGAGTTTCCACTTTGAAGGATAGAGGATGAACTTATAAGCTATCTTGACATGAATCAAAACAGGCATACTTTCAGCTTCTTTTGTGTGTATCATAATAAAAAAATGGTTTTAAAAAGACTCAGAATGGGTCCTTTATCAATGTAGCATACAATGTTTTGCATATTTTTTAAAGACAAGGCACTCAGTTTTTAAAAATATCATAGAAACAATCAAGAAACACCCTGCTTTTTAACTTTCATATTTAAGTCAAGAGAACCAGTTTGGTGTAGTGGTTGACATCAGGCTAGAAATTGACAGACCATGAATTTTAGTCCAACCTTGGGCATGAAGCTAGCTGGGTGGCCTTGGACCAGTCACCTTCTCTTAGCCCTAGGAAAGAGACAATAGCAAACACCTCTGAAAAAAATCTGGCCAAGAAAACTGCAAGGAATTGTTCAGGTGGTCTCTGAGAATTGGATAGGATTGAACAGCAGAAAAAAAAAGTCAAAAGGAAAAAATTGGTTAAAATTCCACATTTGTATACGTGTTTAAATATACAGATTTTATTTTTATTATATAAGTTTACAATATATTACATTTGTAAAGTTTAGTTCAATCATGTATTTTATTGCTATCAGCCATTATGGTCACCTCAGTAAAAGCTTTTGTTTAGTAAATCACTTTAAAACTTAAATTATCTAATTTACAAATTGTGTATTGTGAAAGGCTGAATATTTGTTGCTGAAGAAACTTTTCATTCTTATTCTGTCTGGTTAACAAGCTCCCTCCCTTCTTTTTTTGTTTGTGGCATCTTGCAATTATTTTCAAAATTAGGTAGGCAGTTTGGTGAGTTTAGTTTTTTTCCAAATGCCATCAGTATTACAAGATTTTAGTTCCAGGATTTTGGGTGGATTCTTGATTCAGAAGGAACTTTCGCGTTTTCTGCTGGTAGTTTTTAAGAAAGAACATTCAAGCCAATCAATACAGGTAGTCCTTGACTTACAACCACAATTGATCCCAAAATTTATGTTGCTAAATGAGACATTTGTTAAGTGAGTTTTGCTCCATTTTACAACTTTTCTTGCAAGAAAAGTTAAGTGAATCATTGCAATTGTTAACCCAGTTGTTAAGTGAATCTGGCT